ACATATTGTGTTTTGAAGTAAAAAAACAAAACGGGAACAAATACAGTATTTGTATTTGCATGTGGCCCGCGGGCCGTAGTTTGAGGACCCCTGCTTCAGACCCAAGACTGGGAGGCGTGGTCTGGATGCAGAGGAGCCTTTATTTGGAGGGAAGTTTAGGCTGCCAGGGAACGGAGGCTCACAAAGGGTTTCCACAAAACAGGACAACACAGCCTTTACCCAAAACAGGGGCTTTATAAACAATGATGATGACAGAACCACGAAAGGCCATGAGGGGAGATGGTTGTGCTTTGGAGTGTTCACCGCGGGGCGGACAGGCCGTCCCACCGGTCCCGGCTCTGCCGACAGCGTGGGGGACATGTGGCCTGTGGTCACGGCGGCATTTCTGATGCAAGTGGAGGGCCAGCCCCTTAACACAGGGCTCCCACGTCTCTAGCTCTTCACCCTGGGGAAGTGGGGCTGTGCACCAGGTGGGTAACCATGGAAACCACAGCCTATTGTGATGGGCCTGTCAGGTTGAGGTCTCTGGCTACCTCTTCCCAGGAGTGTGTCAGAGCCACGCGCAGCCTTGTCCAGAGCGTGGAGCATCGGGAGTGATGGGAGCCGGGAGCTCGAGTTGAGTGACTTAAAAACGAACCCCTGCAGCTGCTGGGTGATCCTCACAAATCCGGGAGCCGGGCATCGAGACCGGGGGTTTGTCTTGGGAGTTTGGAGAAAGCCCTTAGGCCGAAGAGATCCTTTACTTAAAAAAAATTAAATTGATTTCAGAGAGGAAGGGAGAGAGGGTGTGAGAGACAGAGAGAAATATCAATGAAGAGAGAGCATCATGGATTGGCTGCCTCTGGCACGCCCCCTGCTGGGGATGGAGCCCACAACAGGGGCACGTACCCTAACTGGGAATCAAACGGTGACCTCCTGGTTCACAGGTCAACGCTCATCCGCTGAGCCATGCCACCCGGGGAAGAGATGTCTTACTTTTAATATTTAGTCTCAGAATCTGAGTGACAGTAGCTGCTTGGCTCAGCCTTGCTCTGTTTGTTGATTTTAAAATGGGGTCGGCCCTGGTCGGTGTCGCTCAGCTGGTTGGGTGTCATCCCAGGCACCGCAAGGTCGCTGGTTCGATTCCCGGTCAGGGCACGTGCCAGGGTGGCTGGCTCGGTCCCCAGTGGGGGGCGTGCAGGAGGCAGCCAAGGGATGGTTCATTCTCATCAATGTTTCTCTCTTCTCCCTCTCTCTCTCAAAATCAATAAACTATTCTTTAAAAGAAAAAAAAAGTAAATAAGGTAAAAATGGGGCCGCTGGTTTGGAGTAAGAATCTTGAAGTCTGCCAGAGAGAGACAGACAATTACCTACAAGGGATCTCCAATTAGACCCTCAACTGACTTCTCAACAGAAACACATCAGGCCATCCCCCATGATATTTGGGGTTCCCTAAGGATAAGGACACACCTGCCCTATGCTCTAGAACAGTGGTTTTCAACCTTCCTAATGCCCCGACCCTTTCATACAGTGCCTCATGTTGTGGTGACCCCCAATTTCATTGTGACAAATTGAACATCATTAAAGCATAGTGATTAATCACAAAAACAATATGTCATTATAGACGTGTTTTCTGATGGTCCTAGGTGACCCCCAAAGGGGTCGCGACCCCCAGGTTGAGAACCGCTGAGCTGAAGGCTATTCGCAACCCTGATTTTAAAGCGTCTCCCTCTTGGGTTGTCTTCTCGTAGAAAAAGCGTCGCCAGGAAAAGGCGTGAAGGAGAAACCTGAAGAGGAGACCGGAGCGGCAGGCACGTCCAAACCGCGCCAGCACCCCAGCGCCCTGTTCGCCAGAGGAAGCAGGAAAGCGCTCCGGAGTCCGCAGCGATCGTCAAGTAGAACGAGAGAAAACAAGCACCCCTTCGCCCTGTACGGGTGGGGGGAGCGGCGGACGGACACTGGGAGCCAAAGAACACACAACGTCTGTGCTTCCGCGCCCGTGCACGAGGTGCATGTGCATGTGTGCGTGTGTGCGTGCGTGTATGTGTGTGCATGTGCGTGTGTGCGTGCGTGTGCGTGTGCGTGTGCGTGTGCATGTGTGTGGTGAGCGTGCAGCCCACCTCTTAGTTACCCTTGGAGGGAGGGGGAGGGGGAAGGGAAGGCACAGGTGTGCTCTTTGGAGGGACAGTGCGCTGGGTCCTCCATCCTAAGTGTTTTACTCTTTATTTTTCTTTTTTAACTATATTTTTATTGTGTGCGCATGTGTGTATGTGCGTGTGCATGTGTGCGCGTGTGCGCGTGTGTATGGGTGTGCGCGTTTGTGTGTGTGTGTGTGTGTGTGTGTGTGTGTGTGTGTGTGTGGTGAGCTTGCAGCCCGCCTCTGAGGGAGGGGGTGGGGGAAGGGAAGGCACAGGTGAACCATGACCTCCTGGTTCAAAGGTTGACGCTCAACTACTGAGCCACACCGGCCGGGCCATCCTTATAGGCCGGGGGTGCCTACAAGGGTTTACAGCAGGAGCCTGGGAGGGAGTGGGTGGAGTCCAGGGGGTGTGGAGAGGGGCACACAGGGTTGGCCGCGGGCGCCTGGGGAGGTCGCCAGGCCCTTTGGCTGTGCTGCCTGGTGTCCCCTCGGCTCCTCTGTCACTGGTTTGTCGCGTAGGTCGCCCTTTGCTCCTGGGAGTGGATGCGAATGGTGGGTGGTGTTTCCGCTGCTCAGACACCCGTGCCTCTTGCTCCCCCACCTGAGGCCTTGCTCCTGTTCCACGTCCTGAGAGCGTGTCAGAGGGGAGGGCCCGCGTGTGCAGAGCCACAAATCAGTGACCCAGGTTCGCATTATGACTGCAGCCTGAAGCAAGGAATGAATGGAAGGAAGCAGGAGCCCTGGCCGGTGTTGCTCAGTGGATAGAGCGTCGGCCTGTGGACTGAAGGGTCCCGGGTTCGATTCCGGTCAAGGGCACAGGCCCGGGTTGTGGGCTCGATCCCCAGTAGGGGGCGTGCAAGAGGCAGCCGATCCATGATTCTCTCTCATCGTTGATGTTTCTCTCTCTCCCTCTCCCTTCGAAATAAATAAAAAAAAATTAAAAGAAGCAGAAGGACAAAGCGCAGAAGGTTTGAATTATGCCCTAATCACATTTTTACGGAACAGCCTTCTAAACCCTGGCAGATGGCGTGAGCTAGAGGGATATTTGAGACAACGGAGCTGGGGTTTAACAAAGACCGCCCGTCATTGGTGTTTCTCTCTCTCCCTCTCCCTTCAAAATAAATTTAAAAAATATTAAAAAAAGAAGCAGAAGGAGAAAGCGCAGGAGGTTTGAATTATGCCCTAATCACATTTTTACAGAACAGCCTTCTAAACCCTGGCAGATGGCGTGAGCTAGAGGGATATTTGAGACAACGGAGCTGGGGTTTAACAAAGACCGGCCGGTCCCTGGGGTGAGGTTTAACCAGGTTTATCTGTGGCATCAAATGTCCGAGGTGGCAACAGAGCCCATTTCTAGAGACTCATGCCAGTGAGCAGCTCACCATTTACATCTGGAGGTCAGTCCAGTGGACATTTTCAGGTGTGTGGGCACGTCACGGAGGCCAGGGGCCTGACTTCTGTGCTGAGAGTTGGCGGGGAGGGCGTGCCTCTGCCCGCTTCTGGCGACCTCATTGTAAATATTATTTAAAAAAAAATATGTTGTTGATTTTTAGAGAGGAAGGGAGAGGGATAGATAGAAATATCGATGAGAGAGAAACATTGATTGGCTGCCTCCTGCACGCCCCCCAGTGGGGATCGAGCCTACAACCCTGGCATGTGCCCTGACTGGGAACCGAATTGGGGACCTCTTGGTTGGTGGGTTCAATGATGCTCAACCACTGAGCCACACCGGCCGGGCACAAATATTTCCAAAGCCACTTAAGTTATCCTTGCAAATATTAAATATTTAAAATTTAAATAGTAAACATTCAGATATCCTTGCAAATCCGTTCAAAAAGCCGCCAATGTTATTTCTCCTTTTCCTTTATGAACTCTCCTTAGATTCACGAGTCGGCGCTACGGGCCAAGAACAGAAGGCAGGTGGAAAAGAGGCGGCTGGTGGCTCAGAGGCAGCGGGCGCACTCGGTGGACGTGGAGAAGAGCCGGATGGCCAAGCCGGCCGCCTCGGAGAGCCCGTGGGTCACGGAGTACATGCGCTGCTACTCAGCCCGCGCGTGACAGGGGAGGCCGCCGGCACCGCCTCCCTGAGAAGCACCAATAAAAGAGAACAAACTATCCAATCCGCCGACATCAGAAGGACCAGGACGTGGGTGTGAGAAACCAGCCCCTGGTGCCAAGTTCCCTTAGAGGGTTCCCTAAAGATGCTGCCCTTTGGGGGCGCCCCCGGCCCCGGCCTGGGCAGCAGGCGACCGCGAAGCCATCCACGTTTGCTTCTTGACCAAGATAACGCCCTCCGTCTTTGCTCTCCCTGTGCGGGTTTCGTCTCAGAGCATCTTTAATCTTTTCAGACGTCGACACCCAATGCCTTTAAAATGGCTAGAGATGCTTCAGACTTGGTATTTTTTCCTGGTAGATCCTCCCGTCGTTGGCATCGCAGTCACGGTCCTGGCGCGCAGCTGCGTGAGCCAGTGTCACGTCCACGGGCGTCTCGGCAGGAACGTGGATCCGCGTGTCACGCAGTGGGAACCTGCGTCGTGTTTCGGTTCCGCACTGCGGGCGGCTGTGATCGCCACGAGTTTCCTGGGCTCGGGGAGCATCCTCTGTCCTCCTCAAGCCACAGCGTGGGCACCTGTCATTTCGCAGGTCAGATGCGTTCCAGGGTGCGGAGCGGACGCTGGCGTGGCCTGGGAATCAGACTGTCATGTCGTTTTGCTTTTTTATTGTGAGGTTTTCCTAGAGGCGGACCCCTCTCTCCCGTGACCGTGGCCGTGGCATTCAGGACGGCCTGGAATCCCAGGGAGTAAACGGAGCCGGTCTTGCTTGCTCATGGGGGTGAGGGGCCGTGAGTCAGGTGCCCTTCGGGATGCCCCCCTGTCCCCCCCCGAACTAATAGACTAATGATGCCACGGACCTCACCGATGGCGAAGCGTGACCGTGGCACATTCAGGCGCCGGTTGGAATCCATTCCTAGCCAGCAGGCCTCATGCAGAACGGTGTGTGGGTGCCCGTGGGAGGCTGTGCAGGAATGAAGGGCTCCGTCTCTCAGCCCACTTGCTTTTGGGGAAGAAAGAGTGATTTTAAGAAACCCTGGTTCCCACCCGGCGGAGGATCTACGGGAGGGATGGGT